AAATCACATTATCACCATCACAATTATCATTCGCCAATATGGACTACCGCCTACTGAATTGATGGAGTCATGTAAGGATGAAAATCACCAAACATTAACCGGAATATTTATGCCTATATCCCTTTTGTTTGATACATTACCTCTTTTCGATTTGAATAGCTGAAATTAACAACATTATGAAATACTTACTTCGTATTGTACCGTCAAAATTGGAGAAGACAAAGCGTTTCAACTCAACTGACAATTCTACGGCGAGAAAATCAGCGATCACTTTGTACTCTGTTGAAGAAATTGGAAGAAGAAGGAGGAGGAGGGAAATTCAAAGACAAAGAGTAAATAAGTGAATCGAGTTCGTCGTTGGAATAGATCGCGTGAGTTCGGAGAAGGAAATGGGGATAATTTGAAATTGGCGCGTATTTAAATTGGATGGTTTTTTCAATGAAATATATATATGGGCCCTGCAAAAAAACTTAAATCGTATTCAATTTATAAAGGAAAACTTATAATACAAAAGACATAGTATATAAATATGACCGTTAACTTGGCTTCCGTCAGCAACTATAATACTTAACTTTGGATGTGCATGAGTATAAATTTTAAATTGTATAATAGTGAAAAAGTAGACACACGTGTTTGACTTGGCTTCCGTCAGTAACTATAATTCTTAAGTTTGGATGTGCATAAGTATACATTTTAAATTGTATAAAAGTGAAAAAGTAGACACACGTGTTTGACTTGACTCCGTCAGCAACTATAATTCTTAACTTTGGATGTGCATAAGTATACATTTTAAATTGTATAAAAGTGAACAAGTAGACACACGTGTTCTACATGGCATGCTATACGTCGGATGCCACGTTAGACACAAGATTTTCATGTAGGCTGCCATGTAGGATGAATGCGTCAATATATTCAAATTTATACAAGTTTAAGTTCTACTTGTGCGCACATCCAAGGGTCATAGTTGTCAACGTGCGTCAACGTTCATATATATAAACTAATGGGCGAGCGGCAACTGAACGGAGTTTAATTTTCCTTTGAATCATAACTACAAAAATATTACTACAATACTCCGTTAATTATCTCTGAGGAAACTAGCTCATCTCTCTATTAATTAAATAATTACTGATAGGCAGGGTTCTTTTAATTTCTTTACTACTAGTTCAAAATAGTTAACTACTTGAAGATGTATAATTAAGCTGCTGAACTTTGAACAATTTTTTTAAAACTTCAACAATATTATCATATATCCTGTAATACCAACCTTAACTAGTTTAGAATTATACTGGACATAGTTGATTGACTGGTGGTATACTTAATATATTGGAGTATTAATTAGTGTTAGTATTTGTTATCAAAACAACACTATCAAATTCACATGCATTAGCAGTCTACTATAAGTACTATCTTCTGTAGAGAACTTCAATAGGCAATCATATCCAAGATTTACCAATTCTTACAAGGGCATTTACAACTTAGATTGATCAGTGTTCATGTATCAAAATATCATCTTTCTGGGAATTTTCAATGATGGAATTTATCAACGAATATTCATTATTTTTTCTTTCTATAGCCAACTCTTTTTCTTACTCACCTACCAGCCTTTCATGTGTTTTGGTGGGCAGTAGAAGAAAAAACACCTTCTACTACTATGCCAAGGGATTAAAAATAGTGAAGAGAGTCAGTTCCGCTTTACAGCTTCAGGCAAGCATTTCTGCAGCAATGATTCACACGTTTACTCTGCGAGATCATACATACACTCAAATTTACGAGGACATCAAGGCAAATCTAAAAAATCTTGGATTTTCAAATCGAGAGTGATCAAGAATTCTCACCTTTTCTTAGATTCATGGACCCAATTCAATTCAATAGGATCTCACATTTTCTACACCAAGAACGTTCTCTAAAGCTCTTTTGACCTCTGATCTGTATCTGGTTTCAAATAGCTGTCCTTCAAAACTTGATGCAATCTATGTGAGAAGCATTTCTGACCTCATTAGTTCCAAAACCCCGTAAATTTCCGTGGACTCATTGTGAGAACCATCCTGGGAATAAAAGAAATGGGGTTGGTTCCGCACTTCTATCCAACTGCATCCCCCGCTTTTCCTCAGTCCTTTTTCCTTCATTTGTTTTCTCATGTTTAAGACATCTAACCATCTGCCAGCTGAAGCATAAACATTTGACAGCAACACATATCCTTCAGGGTGCTTTTCAGCCAGCTCCGAAATCTTTTCCGCCACCCTTTCTGCTATTACCTCATTTCTGTATGTTTTGCAACCACTTAAGAGAGCTGCCCAAGCTTGAACTTCTGGTTCACAAGGCATTTCCAATATGAACTTCTCTGCTTCAGAAAGACGTCCTGAACGAGACAGCATGTCCACTACACAGGTATAGTGCCTATCGTTCGGCTGTATATTATAGAGCTTTTTCATTGAATTGAAGTAATGGAGTCCTTTATCTACTAGACCACAGTGGGAGCAAGCAAATAAAACAGCTAAAATAAGCAGCTCATTAGGTGTAATGGACTTGGTCCTTTCAAATTCTTCAAATACAGCAAGTGCTTCCTTTGCAAAGCCATTTTCTGCAAGCCCTTGAATCATAGCTGTCCAGGAAATCTCATTGCGTTTGGGCATCCTTTTGAAGATTTTCGTAGCGCTTTCAACATCTCCGGATTTGGCATACATGTCCACAAGGGCAGTGTCGATAAAAATGTCAGAGTGAAAACCAAGTTTAATTGCCTTACCATGCGAGTTCTTCCCCCTTTCTAGTGAAGCTAAGCTCGCACAGGCACACAAAACACTAGAGAAAGTAGATTTACTTGGTCGTTCTCCAGATAGAAGCATCTCACAGAAAACTTCAAAAACCTCATCAAATTTTTCATACTCTAAATAACCTGTTATTAGTGAATTCCATGAGATGTTATCTTTTTGGGGTATCTTGCCAAATAGCTCCTTAGCTTCTTCAAGCTGGTTATTGAGACTATAGCCACTAACCATTGAATTCCAACAAACAACATTTTTCTCCAAGATCGAGTCGAATGCTACATGTCCATCCTTGGTGCTTCCACATTTGCAGTACAGGTCAACAAGTGAGCTACCAATGTAAGCATCTCTCTCCATCCCCATTTTTAATATATGTCCATGAACAATCTTTCCCATTACTAAAGCCTCCAGGCTGGCCAATGCACTGACTACGCTAGCAAAACATGACTTATTTGGTTTAAACCCCTGCCGGACCATGCAAATGAAGAGATTCACTGCCTCTTCTGCATCACCACTCTGACTGTACCTTGAGATCATTGTGCTCCAAGAAACTTCATTTCTTTCTGGCATCTCATCAAAGACACGACGAGCTTCTACCAATTCTCCCATCTGAACATACATGTCAAGAATTGCTGTCCACGAAACTACATCTTTACACTGCATCCTATCAAAAATTGACCTAGCTGAAACAGTATCATTTAGTCTCAAGTTAAACGTGATCAAAGAATTTGAAACTGACAAGTTATGTTCACAACCAATCTTAACAATCAAACCCAATACACACATTCCTAAATTAAAATCACCCAAGTCTCCACATGCTCTAACAATGGAAGTAAAAGTGACAGCATTAGGCGTAACACCAGATTGAAGCATCTCGAGAAACAGCTTCATTGCTTTAAAACTTAACCCATTTTGAACAAGCCCACTGGTAACTGCTGTCCACGAAAACAGATTCTGAAATGGATTTTTCTCAAAGTACAAAATTGCCTCTTCAACTTTTCCAGACCTCAACAACCCCGAAATCATAGTAGTCCAAGAAACTTCATTTCTCTCAGGCATTTCCTCAAACAGTCTACGAGCTTCGTCCAGTTTTCCCCATTCAATATTAGCAGTAATAAGACAATTATGTATAACTAAGTTGAACCCCTCAAACTCCTTCAGCATCTGATTAATTTCATTTGGCTTTCTGGATTTAAGATACATAATAAGCAACTTAGCGGCGATGTTTTTCTGTGATGACACACCTTTTTTTATCAAATGCCCATGAAACATGGCCCCTTCGACTATTAATCTCTTTTCAATGAAGTCATTCAAAATAGAGACGATCTTGTGTACATTATCTTTAAAGTTTTCCCTTGTGTTGGATAAGAGAGACCTCATAACACTTCTCATGCTGAAAGTAAGGACTTGACTAAGAGACTCGAACAACCAAAGTGACAAAATGTATTGATACTACACACAAAAACTTCATTAGTGGTTTAACTACCCGTTATTGGATTTAGCTTGAAATTAGAGAGCCTCACTGATTCTGAAGTATAACCACACTGATAGAAACTTTGTACTAGAATTGGCAGGGGCCGCGCGAACGCAGGCCCCCACAGCAACAAATTATGACGTAGGCTCGACCACTTGGGCCGACCTTAGGCGGGCGCCCCTTCAAAGTGCAATGAAAGTCACCAACCTAGGCCATGGGTCTTCATGATCGCCCATTGACCCCGTCCAGGTAAGTATGTTTCATGGTTGTCCCCTCCTTTATTTTTATATCTCTCCAGTACCTTGTCTGCCATTGTTTTTGCCGATGTGGGATAAATCTCACATACACTATTCCGCCTCTTTTCATCCCCTTGTAATCTTTTGTGTGTTTTTGTAATCTCTTTATAAACTGCAACTTCAACAGTAAATTATAAGATAAAGAGTATATAACTTTTTGAAATCTGCCAAAATGTTTGAGATTTACAGAACTTTTCAATAGAAAGGATCTCCATTTTTCATTAGTCCTACCTTTTCTTTGAGTAGTGAAGGTTCGTTTTTTCTTTTACTCAAATTCTACGTAATTATCACAATTTTATGAAAATGCAGCAGGATGAATTACAGCAAAGCACATGCTCGAGTTGGTGAGCAAAGATGAAGTTCTGCGTCATCCACTTTTGCACATAACTATGTATAGTGCCAAACTCAAACACAGATAGCCGCGGTATAGAAGCGAGGACGGTGATCATAAATCAAGGATTCTAAAAATTTCATCATATGAAACATGAACATTCTTCTTATTGACAAGAAAAGCTAAATACAATACCCAACAATTTCAGCTACAACCCATGTGAATAGAACTTTGTTGATTTATGGAAATGAGTAGAGGAAGACACTACATCACAATTATTAGACTGCAATACTCTCAAACCAAATGTTTCGAGGAATAGAGAGTAACCCACCAGCACCTGATGGGCAGCTATGAGTTCAGTAAGAAACAAATGATGATTTACAATAGTTAAATGATTAACAAAAGACGAGGATAATCAGAACTGCAGTCCAGCACTCACAACTCTCCATCAGCGGTGGGGTGTAACTAAGCATCCTCCAGTTGATATTTGTATTTGAAATGCTATTACCAGCTCCCAAATATCAATGTCCTCGTAGTAACTTGAGTTTTGGGATAATTGAACCTACTGCCAAGAGGCAGTAACTCAGCATTCAGACCCTAATAAGTCAACTGGCATAGGTAACAAAGTCTCTCTACATAACAAAGTCTTGCTAAGCTTCACAAGTATGTCACTGGCGGAGCTGACATTTTCCAGTTCCAGCACAAACTGAACACTCATCTGCTTTCCCGGCAATATGACTTAGGCAATGATTGATCCTATCATTCACAACATCCTGTAATAACAATCTTCAAGAATTAGAATTTTAACCTACAAACTTTCCATAGAAGAATTTCAATGAGAAAACATTTAGCTGTTTTTAAATCAACCTTCTAGGATTAAAATTTCAACCAAACAGCTTTATCAAGGAAGGATGTCAATATGCCAAAACCTCTGACCATCATGGTCTTTCCATGAAAGAAAAGTTTGCTAGTTACTTGACCAATAAGAGTGTTGGGATTAAAATGGGATACTGTAAGGCTATTGTCACAAAAGAAACTCACATTGAACAAAGTATTCAGTAAAAATGAATTCTGATACAAGTGTCAATAGCCTAGGAAAGAAAAGGCAACTGCAAACCAATTAAAATAACAAAAGCCCTAGTTAGGCAAGGACTGCTATAGGGCCAGGTGACTAAGGAAAGAGGGGAGTTTGAGCAATTATAAGGGCAAAAGTTTGAATGCAAACAGCGGAGTAGGAATAAACTAAGGTTTCAATATTGTTGGACGTCATATGTAAATGAAAAGAAAAATAGTGAGAAAGTAAAGCAAGCAAAAAAAGAAGTCTTACAACAAGTAATTCATGAAGGCCAAGAGGTGCTGTAATGACATATGGTACTCCTGGATGCTCCTTTGCAGCTTCAGCTGTTAATGAAGGAATATCCTGAAAAGTGAAAGATCAAAGCCTTTTCACCAAGGTCCTTGGCTTTAACTCTGATATCAGGTCAAAACCTAGCACTATACATCATCGGCAAATTCTACATCAGCTATCACAACTTGAGAATTCAGACTACATAAAAAGAAAGATACCTGGTTCCAATGTCGTCCAGGAGAAAGGAAAAAGGGGCTCACAATAACTCGACGTGCTCCTTGTTGAACGCATAAACTAAATGCGTCTCTGATAGATGGTTCTGCTAGCTCCTAAATGTCATAAAAGATATACAAAGCAAAATGAAAGTTCCAACTTTTTGAGAGTATTAAAAGAAAGGAAAATAGAGATATTAACATGCAAATATTAGGATTTTCTTACTCCTAGCACATTCTTAGTCCTATTGCCACTTCCCAACCATCCAACCTTAAAGGGATCCCTTTATCCTATCAATCTTTGTTTTATTTTGCCAGATTTTCTCATGAGATATTTTAAGATGATTTCTCATACGCAAATTTATATCATTTCTATTGTTTCTTTTCTGAAAAGGTGTATGCTTTTGTTTTCTTTCTTTGCTTTTGCTCTTTAACATCCAAACATATTGCAAGACTTCTCATTTCTTACCCTTCTGCACTGCAGTTTCTTTCCTCGACAGTATTTTAATCCCAAACAGGGTACAAAAACAAAGATAAACAGATAAGGAATCAAGAAACCACGGATCATACAGCAAGCTCTACAACAAAAATCATACAAAGAAGGGGATAAAACATTCTTACCATGTGTGCAGGCTCCACAATGGGGTATTTGGTTCTCTCTCTAAACATTGCTACAAATCCATCTGACAGTTATCATCAAAACTACAACTATAAGCAAAACTTGTGATAAATCAGCAACAAAATTGAAAAAAAAAAATGAAGGGTGCCAGAAACTAACTTAGCATGAGATTGGACTCTTTTCTACGGGACCCATGATCCACAATTATCACTCCGTCGCCTTCTTCTATCCCCTTCAACCCCTCCCTGCTTGAAGTAGCCATACAATACCTCTGAGGTAAATATCTGGATTTTGAAGGACCCTTAAGCAATTTTACAAATTCAGGAACTGCAATTCCTGGTCCTCTAGCTGGGTATGTACTGGTTGAGCTTTCATCATTTCAACAACACAGAAAACATCAATTTAATCATACGAACTATCAGTTAAATATGCCTTATGAACTACTAATACTAATCAAGAATAAAACTTCTATGATAATTACAACATGAAGAATCAGGAGAACACAAGAACTATAAATTACCTCCTCAAACTAAGATGAGATTGTAAAGACAACGAATCCATTCACCTTCTTCCAACACCGCTTCGGTTATTCTTCCATTTTCAACTGAATCAGTAAACCTTGATTATTAAAACCCAAACATAGTAGGAGGAAGTGCGTGAGCCCATTTTTGAATGGCGTAACGGGTCACAAGGCCCACATATCTTTTCTTTTTTTCTTGAACTTGAATGTCATAATTCGAGGCTGTACATTAATTGATAGAATTTTGGGATTTTTTTCTTACCAACTTTAATTATGTCAGTAGAAATTATTCTACTGAATCATTAAATTATTTATAATTTATTCATTTTAATTAGTTGATTTTGATCAATTTTTTTATTATAAATGATTTAAATTGTGTTCGTATTATAATAATTTTTAATAAAGAACGAAGACAAACTATGTTAGTCTCACTTATTTTCTAATGTGTTTAAATGACTTGAAGTAAAACATAATTATTCTCAATCATTTTCACTATCAATTAGACTAATGAATTCTCAAACAACATATACATACTCTATCAATACCCCTCAAAAATTTGATACCACATCACCCAATGGTGTTTGTTTAAAAGGAACAAATTATCGCGATTCAATGATTCAATAGGAAAATATCATAGTTGAGGTACCTGAAAAGAAAAACTCAACAAATTTAAAAATGTGTTTATGTATTTGGCCTTGATATAATAATACTTAAAAAAAAATAGCTATTAAATTTACTTATTTTTTATTTATTAACTAGTCCAATTCAATTCAATTTGGGAAAGATTGTCTTCAATTCTAACATGTTTATTTAATTGTACATTTCAAACTCAAACTACATCATATAATTAAATCCTTTTTTTTTAAAAGTTTTCCCTTAATTCAATAATTTAATTCAAATTTGTTGCAGAATTTAGAGAAGACTGATTTATCATATAATTAAATCCCTTTTTTAAAAAAAAGTTTTGCCTTAATTCAAAATTGTTGCAGAATTTAGAGAAGACTGAATTATCATATAATTAAATCCTTTTTTAAAAAAAAAAATTGCCTTAATTCAATAATTTAATTCAAAATTGTTGCAGAATTTAGAGAAGACTGAAGATGAAAAAGTTGCAATGAAAATTAAAGTATAAAATATTTTTTGTTAATTTTTTTGACGTTTCAAAATTTTGACTTAATACTCTAATATGTTATTTCAAAAACATTTTGGGAGTAGAAAGGGGATCGTGAACTTTTTTTATTTCATTGGAGAAATAGTCTCCTAACAATGTTAGTGGATGATAAATAAATTATTCAAAACTTATAATAGTGTTATTGTCACTTCCAGCATCAAAGGGGTGCGTCATGTGCATGTGAATGCACATCACAAATAATACTTTTTTGCTCACTATTGTGTCACAGCATGCAAAATTTATTAACTTTTTATATTTGTATTCTATATAGAAACTAAGTGATTTTTTACCGATATTACTAGTCCATGTTCCAATTAGTGATTTTTATGGGCACACATTTAAGTGAGTGATGGCAAACAAAAAAAATTGAAAAAAATATCTTCGTTTTTGTGCCAGAGGGTATTGTTTTCTCAATTACCTGTAGCTTAGTCTATAAATTAATTATGGTTATTTATTTTTAGACAAAAATACATACAAGGATGAAAATTAAGGGCATCAATTATTAATGAAGTACTCCAAAAGAACCAAACTAGTACTATTAATGAACTAAATAAATGTGTTGGTAATGCTACCTACCTATTACATGCATTTCTCGATTATCTATCGAGAGAGATAACAGTATAGCCAACTAACACGTTAAAAATTTACACTAAATTAATATAACATATAATTTACATTAACTTTTATTGTCTAATCATAATTTACTTATACAAATCCTAGACTGTTTTGGAGCAAAGATTTAAAATAAATAAATGAAAAAATCCCATATTCAACAATTAGAATGCATAAAGAAAAATATTGATATAATCTAATATATTGTTTTAAAAAAAAATAAAAATAGATTGATTTATTTCTTTTGTATCATGCAATTAAAAACATAATTTAAAATATTATTAATTTTAATTATGAATTTCTAAAATGATAATTATTTTAATAAAAATGACTATTAATTTAGAACAAAAAATATACAATATTTGAACGCTATAAATTTAATTGTACTAATGTTATACTCTCCCTCTGTTTCTATTTATATGTTATTCAATTTTAAATTTCACGTTTCTTAAAAATTATGTAGTTTATCATTGTATTCTTGTCTGATTTTCTCTTATAGTCTAGATTTTAAATCAATAAATATACGTTAATATTTTTTGATTAATTAATTTAACCAATGCACATAAACTATTTATTTAATTTTTCTATATTGATCAAATACATATTTTTAAGATTAATAACTCTCATGGTAAAATAAAAAAATAATGTTATTTATATTTTAAGAATGACGTATAAATAATAACGGAGCGCGTAAATGTTTGTGTTGGGTTGGTGTGCGTTTTGTTGTCTCATCAATTATCTCCTAAGCAAGTCAAGCACCTACATGAACATTAGTTGGCCTTAGTTGTGCAGTAACTTTCAAGCATGGATTCTATTACTTCATCATTGATGTTTTGTTTATTTTTTGGTTGAAAACAAGTCAATAAATATTATTTTTTCTTTAGTTAAATAGGAGATTATTTAGTTGTGTGTTTGATTGTAAATATTACCTAATTAATTTTTAAAATTGTTTTATCTCATTATTTCTATTATCATAATGACCAATTATTATATCCATGAGCCAAATCTTGAATTCCATATATGTTTCGTAATATTTAAAGTGTATTAATTTTCTTCCTATTTGAAGCAAGAGTGCAGCTATTTAATAATACAATAAAAACTTGCCATGATTTTTTTATTAAATGAGTGATGAGTTGTTATTTTATAGTATTACCTTGTGATTATTGCTATTTTCAGTTTTTGTGGTTATGTACTAATTAAAATGTGTTATTGCTTTAACCAAAAATAATAAATTTCTTATTATTTTCTTGATTTCATATTAGTTCGATCTTTTTCTATTTTACGGAATATTTAAAAAATGATAACATTTAGAAGTGTAAATTATAAAGTAATCAACAAATATTGAAAAGTAAAATGTCTTTAAAATGGTGGGAAAACTCAATAATAAGGAAGGTATATGATTTGAAATAAATCTATCTTATCTTCAATTAAATTTAAATTTATATATTATAAAATAAATTTTTAAAATTAATACTTTTCATAACTTTATTTAAATATATAAATTTAAATTCAAAAAATAAAAGCGAGAATAATCTTCAACTACCCGTAGGGGGTAACAATTTAGTAATTATATTTGGAACTTAGTAGACATAGGGTGAAAACATTCGCTGAAAATATAGAAAGCTGCGAAAAAAAAGAAAAAAAAAAGATAAAAGAAGATCAATTTTGAGTAAAAGCAAAGTAAGTGTGCAGTGGCCCTCAAAGTGGAGGCAGATTTGGTGGCAAAGAGAAAATCGTTTCGCCATTAAAGCAGCCATTGAAAAGGGATTCTCATTCTCCCTGCAATTCACGCTATCCAATATGTATTAAGCTTATCTTTTACTCACTCAATACTACTTGTAAGCTTAGTCAAGACTCAAGTCAGCCCTTCACTCTCACTCCATGTCCCTTTCTTCTTTCTAATAATACAGTGTCGGATTCATGTGAGATAGCTCTGAATTTCTTCCCAGATCCTTTAATTTTCATCTCATAATTAATTGTATTTCCACACCTTGGATCCATTTAGCTACTGAATTGGTATTGAGATCTTCATGGGTAAGTGATTATACTCTACAAATTTATTTGAAGTGTGTGGGAATATGGGCTTGAAATTGATTCGAAGATCCAATTCCCAGAAATCTCAGCATAGATGGAAGATAAAAGTGTTTGCTATGATGTTATTTGTTTTCTTCTTCGGGACTTTAGTGTTAATGGAGACACAGTATAATAAAATTAGAATGTTAGCGTTGCTTTCTGCTCCTCAACTTCAAAACCCCAAAATTGCGTTTTTGTTTATAGCTCGGAATCGTCTGCCTTTGGACATTGTTTGGGATGCCTTCTTTCAGGTAATCAATTCATTATGTGGCACTTGGATTTTTCCTTTTTTTTTTCTCTTTTTGTCGCCATAATTATTTTGCTTGTATTATTTCCTTTAGTGTGAATTCTTGAATTTTTTTTGTTTACATTGATTAATTTCTGAGGTTTCTCACTTTTTTTGGTAATTGGAGTGATTTAGGATCTTTTAACTCTTTACTAAGTTAATTAAAAGTGCCATTAATATATAAACTTGCAATATTAGTATAGTTAACAAAGTTTATATCTTTATGCAAGATGTTTTCTTTCTTTCTTTTTTCGTGGGGTGGGGTTAGTGGTACCTGGATCCTGCTGAGATCACAAATCATACAGAATGAGCAAAACAGAAACACCCTTTTCTTCTTTGTTGGAATCTTAGTAACTCAGTTGATTTGAACATTCACATCCACTTAGTAATTTCCTTCCCCATTTTCCCTTCTACTATAGCCAATTTTAAAATTCAAAAAAAGGAGAAAAAAAGAAGAAGAGGATATGCTATTTCCTGAGTGCTCATCTTTCTTTTGCTAGTTTTGTGTTTGAGTTTAGTGTGATATTTCCTTTTTTAAGAAGAAGGATTGTCAAATATGATCTTTAATGCTTGTGTTAGTGGGCCGCGGAGCTTTGTGATTTTTTAGTTTTATTTGACTATTGCCAAGCTCCTTAAGCAATTGTACTTACTGCTCAATATGCTTTGTTTTGATTTCACTTTCGTTACTTCTTTTTGGACTGTTTTTCGTTAGGCAAAGGTCTACCGGAAACAACCTCTCTAGGGTCAGGTCTACGTACACTCTACCTATACCCATTTTATCCGACTATGCTAGGTGTGTTGTTGTTGCGAAGCTCCGTATTCAATCAACTATCCCATAATCTAGTCTAGTTGAGATCAATGATATGAATCCTTTTCTCTATACCATTCTATTCAGGCTCATTACATTCTAACATTAAATAATTTGCCTTTGAAGGAAAAGTAGATGTCCCTAAAATTGAAGGTATTTCTAAAATTCACACTTACACTGTACTGATATAAGTGATATAGAATAACCATTATAAAAACTCAAAAA